TTCTCTCTCTCTCTCTCTCTCTCTATCTATCTGTCTATCTGTCTATCTGTCTGTCTATCTATCTATCTATCTATCTATCTATCTATCTGTCTGTCTGTCTGTCTGTCTGTCTGTCTGTCTATCTCTCTCTCTCTCTCTCTTTCTCTTTCTATCTCTCTCTCCCTCTCTCTCTGTATCTATCCGTCTATCCATGTATCTATCTAACTATCTACTTGGCTATGTATCTGCAGGGGCAGCACCAGCAGTGGAGCAGCAGCAGCAGCAGCTGCAGCTGGGGCGGGTGGGGCACCTCGAGGTGGGGGTGGGAGTCCTTGTGAGGGGATCGGCTACGTCCTTTTCTTGCCTTGCCTCCACCTCCCTTGCCCTGCGCCTTGCCCTTGCCTCGTCCCTTTCCTTTACTGTACCTTGTCTCTTTGGCAGACCCTTAGTGATCTATCCAAGAACACCCGCAAGCGGCACCCCTCAGTGGTCCTAAGAAGCGGACCTGCCACCTAAGTCGGGATGTGGGAAGCCTGTGAGCGATCCAGGTCGCAAACGTGGGAACAAAGGCATCGTAATGAGTACCCTTGTAAGCCAATAAAATGGTACGTGTGGCCAAAGGGGAACTCGCAACCATGGGAAAGGTGGAATCCCATGGAATGTACAGGGCAACGTTGCGCATGAGAGCATCACCCCAGGCACCCGCTTTAGACATCTCGACACAATAATTCGCGTCCTGATCGGTATGTAAACGAAGATGTTCCACACAAGACAGGCGGAAAGAGTGCACGTCATCGTTGGAGACGGTGATCCCGTGTTGACATGCAGTCAAAAAGGCCGTGAACATGCAGTTCCCATCCGCGATACACGATTGGAGCTGAAGCTCTGGGGGCGAAAACGCATTTGCGGCAACTCTGAAACTATGCAGTGCATGCTCCGAAGTGTCCGGGTGCCAAGGATTCTCGGACCTCAAGAGTACGCAACATTGGTCCTGCCACTTGGGCTAGGATATGTGAGATCGTGCTGCCAGCCAGCCCTGCCCTCACTCTCATCAGATAGTTGGACCCGGATTGGTGAAAGATCCCTATCACATGCTCCGGTGTCAGGTACGATGCCAGCTGGAGGGCAGGGGGGGTCTCCCCGACTATATGCTGAATTAGTCATTGGGCAAAGTCCCCGAGCGGTGCACGGAGAGGCTCAGCCATCGCGTTCGCGACCTGGTTTGCTGCCGCGTTCAAACGCGGAGCGCACCACTGTGCAGGGAGGGTGTCGCGGAGGAAAGTGTGCAGCAACGGTACGGCTTCCTCGGTACAGCGTCGCAGGTCATGAGCATCTCTAAGTCGACGGTACGTTTCATCGAGGCAGCTAAAACCGACCAACACTATCCGGCAGTGTTGGCCCAGGATGTCGATATCGCGTCGAAGCGAGTCCTGTGCCGACGGCATCAGGGAAGGGGACAAACTGGTCGGGGCCTTCGGCCGTTCTGTCGTGTCCCTATCGCACGTGTTTCCTGGTGAGCCAAAAAACCCGGCGATGCTTATATCAGGGCTGACAGGAGCGCCTAAGGACGCTCGTGCATCAAAAAAAATCGTGGGCGCCAGAGGACGCCGGTGTATGTGCCAGAGGACACTTGATGCAGTCTTAAAAGCATACGATCGACGTGGGTATGCGAGCGCAAGACAGGCGGAAAGAGTGCACGTCATCGTTGGAGACGGTGATCCCGTGTTGACATGCAGTTAAAAAGGCCGTGAACATGCAGTTCCCATCCGCGATACACGATTGGAGCTGAAGCTCTGGGGGCGAAAACGCATTTGCGGCAACTCTGAAACTATGCAGCGCATGCTCCGAAGTGTCCGGGTGCCAAGGATTCTCGGACCCACCTCCCATAAAAGCTGGTTCTAGCGAACATAACGGAGTATTACATGGTAAAATACGGAGGTCTGTGATCATCTGAGCTACGTGGTTGCGCAAGTCCGCAACGAGCTGGCCCAAGTCACAAAGGTGTGGCCGCATCGTGGAAGCTTGTTTCGGGAGTCGGTGTGCGTTGGCATGCGTGCCACATGCCCCACGCAACGAAAGGTGTTGACCATGAGAACCTGCTCAATGGTGGGCACGAGAGAAATGCTTGCAAGGTGCAAGCACGTGCTTGTGGCCGTCAAAATTATCCGGGTGAATGAGATATGCAGCAGAACTTTCAGTCACTGCAGAGCAATGCTTGGGAAACTCGGGAGGTTCAGGGTCAGAAGGATCCTCAAAAGTAAGCCATTTGTGTTATTTTGCATAACTGGCGCGAGCCAGCACATGGCTAACATCATACGCTGACGCTGCAAGACACGACTCTCAAGTTCATCGTATGCGACTTAGCGTCGTGTTGTGACAAGGCTGCAGTTTTTGCAGCAACTTTGGCATTGCAATACAGCAAATTCTGTTTGAGCTTGTCAAGGACATGAACGTTTACGGGGGCAGCCCTCGAGGAGGGAACCATGCGAAGTTTCAAAACGATGTCCAAATTATCGGCATCAAAAACAGGGGAAGGGGACTTAACTACTTCCCAAACCGAAAGAAAGCCGGGACAGGCAACTCGAATGTGTAGGGGCCGAACATCACGAATGACAACTTGCAGAAGAGCTCGTTCTCGAACGCGCGCTGAGCCAAAAAAGCACGGATCTCTCTTTCTCTCTCTGTCTATCTCTCTATCTATCTATCTATCTATCTGTCTGTCTGTCTGTCTGTCTGTCTGTCTGTCTGTCTGTCTGTCTGTCTGTCTGTCTGTCTATCTGTCTATCTCTCTATCTCTCTATCTCTCTATCTCTCTATCTATCTATCTATCTATCTATCTATCTATCTATCTAAAAAATCTATGTATCTAAGTATCTACCTCGCTATCCATCCATCCATTCATCCATTGACCTATCTACCTACCCAGCTACCTACCTGGCTACCTACCCACCTACATACCTACATACCTACCTACCTACATACCTACCTACCTACCTCATAGCATTGTTACAGAGATGTCCCACCTGGAAGAACATTCCGATGATGGCCATCATCGCCAGCCTTCCGTTGGCCAACTCCGCCGAAAGCTTTTTGGTCTTCTCAGCTGGGTCGCTGGAGGGCAAGACCTTGAAGCCGAAGTCGCCCGCTGCGGCTGGGGTGCCCGGAGACTGGTCCTGGGAAACCTCGCAGAAGG